AGCGCAAAAACCTTATGTTGGTGAGAATTAGGCTTCTTGGCTGCAGTAGCAGTGTAAGGGCATTGTATTAGGCTCCGTAGTCGCAAGAGCATTATACGAGTGAGAAATTAGGCTTTGTGGCTGCATTAGCAGTGCAAGGATTTAATGTCGATGAAAATTAAGCTTCGCAGCTGTAGTAGTAGTACAAGAACATTATGTTAGTGAGAAATTAGGCTCAGCACTTCAGCAGCAGTGCATGACCATATGTAAGTGAGAATTAGGCTCTATGGCTGCAGTAGCAGTGCAAGGACCTTATATTGGTGAGAAATTGGGCAGTAGCAATGCAAGGGCCTTATATTAGTAAGAAATTAGACTCAACGGCTGCTCCACGGCTGCAATAGCAGTGTAAGGACTTATAATAGTGGGAATTTAGGCGTATGGCCGCAGTAGCAGTACAAGGACCTTTTATTAGGTTCTATGGTTGTAATAGCAGTGCAAAGCTTTTTGCTCCGCGGCTGCAGTAGAAGAGCAAGGATCTTATTTCAGTGAAAATGATAGTACAAGGACCTTATGTTAGTAAGAAATTAGAGTGACCCCTTGACAGTTTCTGCCTTAAAGCAGTTTATTGACAAGAAACCGCATTATGTAAGTAAGGATTGTTGGATACGCGATGCTGCCTTGGTAGCTATTAGGTAAACAATGCGTCGTCCTGGTGAATTGTGTAAATTTAAACTTAAGGATATTAAATTTGGAGATAAATTATGCTCGGTGCGCATAAGTTCCTCCAAGACTGACCAGTTTGCAAATGGGAAGTTTATTCCTATAGAATATGTAAATAGTCGCTATTGTCCAGTTAGATTATTGAGAAAATATTTATTAATAAGACTGAAGACTGCGGATAATGAACATCTTTTTCTGTCAAAGCAGAGGTAACAGTTGGGGCCGTTGGTGCTATTGTCAAAAGAATAGATTTACAGCTCATAGCATTAGAATTGGTGGGGCAACAGCTGCAATGGAAGCAGGTTTGTCTGTGACACAAATACGTACTATAGGAGGTTGGGACAGCAAAGCAGTTATGTTATATTTGAGGACAGTTTTCTAGAAGGATGGATTTTGCTATTTAGCGATCCTCTTCTAATCCCATATGTTTTTCAGCTTTGTTAAATAAAGTTATGCTTTGTGTTTTAAATAAAGTCATCTGACCGTGCAATAATAATGAAAAGCCTGTCAACGAAGTGACAGGGCGATCATTATTGCGAGATCAGATGACTTTATAGCCGGTCACATTCCAGGTTTTTATGTATCCTTTTATGGTTATTAATTGATTATTGTTGTATATTTTTGTAGCTTGTATTTACAGGTAATTTTGGATTGACATATGATTATTTGAATTGCGCATTGTTGAGTATTGCGAAATTGGTAGCAGGGGTAAGGGAGTATGGCTATAGCCAGGAACGAATCAGTGATGCAGGAAAATAAGAAGGAAGTATTTAAGGCCTGTTGTCTTGAGTAAAGGGTTATCTTTCTATTGCTATTGCTCGCCTTGTGAAGGCTGGCTCTATCACCCTCCCTTACCCACCCAGATTTGAACCAATGGTGTTATTATGATATGTCAGGCTCCACGGCTGCGCGGACAGTGCAAGGACCTGTTATTTGGCTCCACGGCTGCAGTAGCAGTGCAAGGACCTATTTTGTATTTGGCTCCGCGGCTGCAAGTGGCAGTGCAAGGACCTATTTTGTATTTGGCTCCACAGCTGCAAGTGGCAGTTCAAGGACCATAATAAGAACAAACTCTCACTTATTATTTTTACCGATTCTCTTTACAGCCATAAGAATGATTGGCATTTCTCTCTACATGAAAGGCATTTGGCCCATGAATTGTGTGGGTCATCCCTTTACTGGTGGAACATACGGAGCAGTATTGGTGACAATTTTGTGTATCATTTGATAAATTGTTTACTCCATATTTGGAGTGTTGATAATGTATACGTATCAGAGCCGCCGAGGGTAGCGAGCCCTTATCCCATATGTTTTTCAGCTTTGTTAAATAAAGTTATGCTTTGTGTTTTAAATAAAGTCATCTGACCGAGCAATAATAAAAAACAGATCCGTAATTTGTTCAATTAATTAATTATTCAACACAAATGAATTATTTGATTAAATTTTTCTTAACGCAACCAAATTATTTAAAAGTTTTTCTTAACACAAGCCGGTTCGGCTTTAGTTCCTATACTTATTAGTATTAATTTTTCCGCAAACAACCTTCGTCCTTTATTTATTTTTGTTCGTCCACACAATCGGGACCATAAATGTCACGACCAGTGGGAGAGACTTTGTATCGGTTGAGCCAATTTAGCTTAGGGTCGTAAGCATTAATATGAGAAACCAATTGTTTATTATCAGACACAAGGCACCATAAAGTACTAAACCAATATCCCTTTATTGTGTCCCAGACACTAAATGTACAAATATCTTTATTTCTACTAATCAACCTAGCAAGCTCCAAGCTTACTAAAATCCAACTCCAATTACCAAAAGACTGATTAAAAGATCCCAGAACTAAAATACATAACGTTCTATATATATCTATGAATAAACTCTAAAAAAAGCTATAGACTATTTAAAGGCTAATTAAGATATGCTTTATACTTCGCATAAACTATTAAATTGTTACACGCAAAAGTAAAAGTATAATGGTTACACAAACAAAGTTTAGTTATGAAACTTTGTTGCGTACGTAGCAGTATTCTGATTGATGTTGATACCTTATTGATCTCCTTTTGCGCCAAAATCTGGCTATAATAGGATATCTGGCGACAATGATTAGATATCATTTTACCTGTAACTCACACTTGTAAATAACGTCAAAACATAAAATTAGAACCTTATTACTACTCCAATTCTATACTGCTATAACAACAATGCAAAGGGACGAATACCATCACTACATTCCAAGATTTATTCTACGTAACTTTGCTATTGACAGATATGAAAGAATATTCACGAGTAATAGGAAACAATTTAATCAGAATCAAAAGCTTTGGAAGGAGAGGAAGAGGGGAGAATCACTCCAAATTTACGATAGAGCTAAGGATCAATTAGATATTTCTTTAATTAAGAGAACTTATGGGGACATAAATATGTATAAAGATCTTAATCATAATGACACAATGCGTGTGGAAAACAAATTGTCAAAACTTGAAGAGAAAGCATCAAAGGTAGTCAAAGATATTATCGAGGCATCTCAATCAAATGGCCAAATTGTTTTATTTAGAAAAAATGTTGCTGACTTACGCAAGTTCCTCTTT